AATCCACGGTGTCATCAATTCAGAGGATTCATAGATTCATAGGAATGTCACACAAGTATAGATAACAACAACAACAACAACAAAGGTAACAATAAACAGTTAGGTTTTATTCATTAAAAATCAATTGACTAAAAAAAATTTTTATTTTAAAAAATGTTTTTTACAAATAGAAATTATTAATATTTATTAGCTATTGTATGATCGGGGGGTTTCTCATCAGGTTTTTCATAGTGTTTGATAGCGCTTGTATCTAATCAATTGCTACCTCCCCTCCCCCAAGTGAAAATTAGCCAAAATAATTACTTAGTATATATTAAAAAAGTTTATATTAATTTTAGACAATTTAAAAAAATAATAAATAAACATTTTTTAAATACAGGTTTTAAATAAATAATATACAGTACTGTAATATATTCAGATGAGATATGAGATATTATTGCTATTATGTTTTTACAATTAAAAAATAGGTCAAAAAATCATTTTTTTAATGAGTTGTCCAGTCTAACCCTCTCGTTTGAGATATGAATTTAAAATAGCAATAATAATGTTATTGTTGGGTAAAAAATTTTCACAAAACAATATTAATTTCAATTTTTTAGCATTAAATACGAATTTTAAAAAAAAAACTAACGCCTAAAACCTGGAACAGTTGATTACAAAGACAGGGCTAAAAAAAAGTTAAAAAAAAATGGACGTCAATCAGATACAGATTGTTGGCTAACCTGGATATGGCTCTCATACCATTAGCAGTGATAATGATAGAAGATGACCATTTTTTAGTTTTGAAAATATACAGCCACAGGAACTAACAATTGCCGGCCAACAGATCAATACCACTCCCATACAACTATCTGGTCATCACATACGATACACACAGATCGAAGACATGCAATACGGTGTATAAATAGTAATGAATAACGATTTTCAAGAGGGTTTGGCATTAAGTAAACGTGTGGCCGATATACCGGGTCGTCCGTGGCGTTCAATTCATTCGTACGGATTCAATGGCAATAGCGGTCCACAGGCGATGACCATACACCACGAGGATCTACTGTTTGCACTGTTTCTGATGGACGAGACTCAGGCTCAGGCTATCAGAGATTCATTATATACGAATCAAGTGGTCAATGAATGCGTAACGGCTATCCATTATCTTAGTCAACTGGGACTCATGATCTACGACGTCAATGCTCACCATCAGGCCATGAATCAGGTAAAGGACAGGTACTATGAGATGCTCAACAAACTTGAATATGCTATACGAAGATTAAATAATTTAGAGTATATGTATCAACGGTCAATAGTTCACAATCCGCGTGCAATTGCCGATCAACAGCTTGAGCCGCCGCTGCCAACATTAGATCCATTGCCACATAACTTACCGCCAGTATTGCCGATCAATATGGATACAATGGACAGGTTAATGGAGATACGTAACCAAATAATGAACGATCCGAACAATCTGTTTGGTCTGAATTGGCGCCAAATGATGATCAATGACTTTGGCGTATTGAACCATTCAATACCAGTGGTAGAGGGTGTATATGAGGTAGATATAGATTACGGTAATCATGGCGATCACAACCAGTTTGACGTAGTTGTCACCAATGAAGGGCCTAACCGTATACGACTGCAATCGATTCGGTTTTCGTACGCCAATTTGCCTCCAAACAATTTGAACGTACCGTACTATCTGATTGGTGAGGAAGGGGCACCAGGACTGCTGGTCTATCGTAACGATACGGATAGTCCGGGCGATTTGATACCTGTCTACAGTCACGGTATACACGGCGCACATCCGGTTATAGGTTGTAATGGTTGGCAGGCAATGACATTGCAATTTCACGATGTAGATAACAATCAACCGCGCCTATGGTTTGTGACCCGTGCTATGGGCGCACAGCTGTGCCAGTGGTTTGAAGAATGGGATGTAATGGCAGTCTATAGAGAATGGTTTATCGCTTTGGCCCGTTTCGCGGCCTATCTCTTTGAAATGCAACGATTTGCCAACTATTTGGAGGGAGATATTCAACAACAAATCAGAAATCAATTGGCAGAACATAGGAATTGGTTGAATGAAACCAGAAATCAATTGTTTTCAAAGTATTCATTACTGTCGGTATTGGAAAAACTTTACCGACACAGTGTACTGGTGCCCGATAGACCACAAGGAGGTCACAATGATCTACTGACATGTCTGGACGCGTGGCCACAGGATATACAGCTTTATCCTTGAATTCCACTTAATCTATTACCGCGAGGAAGAGTACGTCCCAGAGCTCGATAGCATTTGTTCATTAGATATCAGACACAAGTGTAGACAACAAAGATTATTAACAAACAAAATCAATACAACAACAACAAGTAAACAATAAATTTTAGTATATCTTGTTTTTTGGTTTAATTAATTAATTAATTAATTTGGTTAATACATTGAAAATTAAGAATTTATATTTAAATTTTTCATTATATTATTGATTTGATGGTTCAATAATTATTAGGTATAACATTGGGAGGGAGGAGGGGAGAGAATGTATTAAAGTCAAGAGATGGGCAGTTACCGGGGGGGGGGACTGTAACCTATTTTGATTGGGGTGGGGGTGGAAGTAGGAAGTTTAAAAAAGTTTAAGTCTCCCTATCGCACCCCACCCCTCCCCCATCCCATGGCTTATATCATTGTAGACTACTATACTGTAGTATTAATACATATAGACTCATACTATTGGCTTATATGTCTATCAATGAGAGAAATCAATGTATTTAAAAATAATTTTTTTTTTTAAATAAAGTTTGAATCATAGATAGATGTATGAAATCAAAGTGTCCAACAAAAATATAATAATGTATTAACAATACAATTGAATTGCATTATAATTTTGCAATTGTTTATTACTATTACATTACATGTTTTTTTAGTTGAACTTAGTTTAGGTTTATCTAAAAAAAAAAAATATTTAGGGTTTGTAATGGTTCCCAAAAAGAGAAAAGTTCCCAAATAAAATTCCTACAATTTTATCCGAAAATATGTAATTAATAAATTTATTCATATTTTATATTAACATTGTAACCATTAATTATATGTAATCGAAATTATGATTTTTTTAAAATTTGTTTTATCCAACAATAATTAGATTAATGAGTTAACTATCAAATCATATTAATTTAGACAAAAAGATTGGTTATATATTAAAAAACAAAAATATTTTTTAAATATAAGTTTTAAATCTATATATATATATATAAAGTAATATTTTTTAAGTAATATTTAAGATAAACTATGTTTTTTTTTACTGACAAAACCAATAAAATAAAAATGAGTGGTCCAGTACTAGCCAATCAATTGAGATATCATTTTAAAGTGTTTAATAATGTTAGTGTTGGGTAAAATTTTTTTCATTTTTTGAGAAAATGTAAATTTCTATATTTTAGCAGTTTATAAGACAATATTAAAACCACAAAAAAACTAAATCGCCTAAAACCTGGATCAGTTGATTAGATAGTTACAGAGTTTTTACAAAAAAAATATGGATATCAATCATCTACTGAATGTATTGGCTAACATGGATATGCAGCGCATACCTCTAGCAGTCGTGACGATATTAAATGAAGCCAATCATCGACCGTTTGTCAACTTTGACAATCTACAGGCACAGGTATTAACGATTGCCGGCCAACAGATCAATACCACTGCCATACAAATGTCTGGTCATAACATACGATACACACGGGTCGAAGGCATGCAATACGGTTGCCAACGAGTACTGCATCACAATATTGGAGCCCATTTGGCATTAGGTAAACGTGCGGCCGGTATACCGGGTCGTCCGTGGCGTTCAATTCATTCGTACGGTTATTGTGGTAATGGCGGCCCGCAGGCGATGACCCTAAACGCTGAGGGACAACAACCACAACATCTGTATTTTATAGACGAAACAACAGCTCAGGCCATMAGAGATTCATTATATACGAATCAAGTGGTAAATGAATGCATAATAACTGCCCATTCTCTTAGTCATCTGGCAATCATAATCTATGGCCACATTGGTCAACATCAGGCCATGAATCAGCTAAAGCAACGGTATATTGAATTGATGCGCAAACTTATCTATGTTATACCAACACTAATTAATTTAGAGACACTATTCAGACGGTCGATAGTTCACAATCCACGTGTTTTTGGAGGTAAATATTCAACAACAGATCAGAAATCAATTGGCAGAACATAGGAATTGGTTGAATGAAACTAGAAATCGATTGTTTGCAAAATATTCATTATTGTCGGTATTGGAAAAACTTTACCGACACAGTGTACTGGTGCCCGATAGACCACAAGGAGGTCACGATGATCTACTGACATGTCTGGACGCGTGGCCACAGGATCTACCGCTTGGTCCTCCACTTGAACCGAATCAGTTACCGCGTGGAAGAGGACGTCCCAGAGCTCCGTAACAAACGACTCGAAGTATTTGTTCATTAGATATCAGACACAAGTGTAGACAACAAAGATTATTAACATAAAAAATCAATACAACAATAACAGGTAAATAACAAATTTTATTAATAAACAAAAAATATCTTTTTAACTGAAAGTTAGATTGACTACAAGTTTAAGCTTTTTTTAATGTTATAATTATAGTCAAAGTTATACGATTAAAGTTTAACAATCAAACAGTTCAACGATCAAAGTTATACTTTTTGTATATTAATGTTTTTATAATTAATTGTATATAAGTTTTGGTTTTTTCCTAATGGTATTGAATTAATTTGTATTATAATTTTGCTATTAATGAGTAAACATTTTGTATATTTTTGAGGAAAGCCTTAGTTTAGTTGTTTGCCAAGTATTTTGTACCGTTTATTGTGTGCGTGTTTGGGTACCGACGGTTGGGTTACCGGTCGGCCAGACCTCAGTTTTTCCCCCAATTTAACTGTTTTGACCCCCAGTGTCTGTGATACACCTCTCCCGCTGACCAGTGATGGCCTCGGGAGTTAATCGATCCCTTATATCTTCAAACAGGTATTTAAATTATTAAACTAATGATTTGATGGTTCAATAGCTTTTTAGGCATAAAATTATGTTTTTTTTGTTTAACTTAAATTTATGTTTATCTAAAAAAAACAATAAATTCTATAATTATAACTTGTAAATTATAAATTTTAGTTTTTAAAAAACTAGATTAATTTATTTTTAGTTAATTCACCAAGGTTCATAATCATGATTTTTGCCATTCCCCCCCCAATTAAACTATTAATTAAAAAATGACCAATTACAAACTTATTTAGATTAAAATTATCTACATTTTTGCCCTTGATCACACTTTTAAATTAAAAGTATTGTTGACCAGATAATTGTAATTAATAGCATCGCCGCCGCCGCTGTTTAAGACTATTTTAAATATATTTAAATTTTTATTTTATTTTTATTTTATTTTTATATTTAAAAAAAAGTTGAGATTAATATTGAC